TTTACCGAGTATGATACAATTTTATATTTAAAACAACAAATACTGAAGTTTATGTTTTTTCTTCACTTTAAAGCTTAGGAATAACATCATCTTTTAATTATATTAAGTAATATTTTAAAAATTTTATGCTACTTATTAAAATTATAAAGCCTCATTCTATAAAGTTTAAACTTTTTACGTGTTTATTAAAGAAAATAAGCCAAAAAATTCAATAGAATATGCAAAAAAATGGCTTACGTGGATACTGAGAAGCTTGGACATAACGTTACTTTCACTTAATTAAATTAATTATATCTATGTTTAATGTAAAGTTTTATATTTTCAAAATAAATTCTAAAATTTTTACGTATATATCAATGAAAATATGGCGAAAAAATTCGATAGAATGTACAAAAAAAAGAAAAAAGTTTTGAAAACCCATAAACGAAACGTATAAATTTCAAAAAAGGATCGTTTAAATGATCAGAGTCTTCGGATGTATTAAATAGCTTTCTAATATTTTCTACGAAGATGAGTTTCTGATCTGACGATTAGCTTAACGATCTTCTTCATTAGCATATCTTTTGGCAGTAATTTCAGTCTGCACATCCTCTGACATTTTGATATGGTTAGTAGTTAATATCTGTATTTGTTCAATAAAAATAAAAACTTTTAATTTCCTACACTCTTAACTAATCGTAAAATAAAGATATATATAGACGATAAGAAAAATAAATAAAAATAATATTTTAATACTTAAAAAAAATAAAGTCAATTTTACAAATTATACTTTTCTTCTTCGAGTTAATGATATCGCGGGAAAAATGTAAAAATATGTTTAAAAAAAACTTCAAAAATTCTTGTAAACCTTTTAAAATATTCAAATAAACATTGGTTTTATGCGTGTCTAGCCGTAACAACTCCGGATCAATGATGCTGCTCTATTTATGATACGGAAGATCATGAAGATACTCCATAAAAAATATCTTAAATTCTTATTCAAAAATAAAAAATACACTTTATTTATAATCTAAACAGTGAAAAAATGTAGGAAAAATACAAAAATAATCAATCATTAAAGTAGAAAATATATTATTTTGATTACAAGAATGTAAGATTATACTTACTTAAATGATGCTAATATTTTATAAAATTAATAATTCATAATAATAATATTATTAATTTTTTTGTGTGATGAAGAGAAATTGTAGATAATTCGAAGCTTAGAAATCACGAAGGAGATATTTTTCTATAATAATCAAGACAGTGCCAAATGATAGAACTTGATGCAGCAATTATCGACAATATTGTTTGCACTTATTTAAGCTTCTCCATCCACAAAGTGTCACGGAGGATTATTGAAGATGAGAAAACCAATAATCGGGTTACAACTGAAATATATAGTTTGGATACTACTTTCGTCGTATATCCCATTATTAATAGAAATTACAAACTAGAAAAAAGTTACAAAAAAATTTTGATTTTTGGGAAAACNTATATTTATATATATGTAATTTAAGATTTAATATATTCTTAATCTGATGGTTTTATTAATATATACATCTTAGAAATTATAATATTTGAAGGCATAAATTTTAAAATATTCTTTTTTTAGTTAAATATATTTAAGTTTAATCATTTTTCTTAGTTACTTTCGATAAATCATTCGATAAAATAAGCCTCATAAGTCTGTTTAATCATGAAAAAAATGAAAAATTCACATTGATAATTATTGATTTTTTTCGCATTTAACTCATGTTCAACGTGTAAATTTGTTGCATAAAATTCTTAATATTTTAAATTTTAAATGAAATTTTTACAAACTTTTATAGAAATGATGCATTTTAAATATAGAAATTCATAAAAAAAAAAAAAAGAGAAAATAAGAAGGAAAAGAAACTAGCTGATAAATTGTGTTGGGTCAATCTGAAACATGAATCTTAGATTGCCAACCATTGATCGTTAATATTATTACCTTTACCACTATCTCTATGAGAAACGAAAATTTCATTTTTATTTAATCAGGAAAAGGAACTTTCATCAAGAAAATCGAGAGGTCAACGTCATTTTCTTCTAAATTTCGAAAGGATTCGATCATTCGTTTTCGGATTGTTATCAATTGTAAAAGTGCATAAGTGAAGAAAATTACTTTGTGCTTTCTAAAAATAGTATTTTATTAATTTTTTGAACTTTAAAAACATGCGGCCCCCGACTTAATACAAAATAGATCATGTGGCCCGCAATATCATATGAGTTTGACATGCCTGCTGTATGGTATATTACAAATGTAAATCTGTCTCTGTAATCCAAAAAAAAACACACTTTGGTAAACGTATCTCTCAGCAATTTCTGGTTAGTAAATTATTTTTTATTTTCCATTGAACTACAAATATATTTCGGGTTGGTATTATGTACTCCAACCCCTCCTCAGTGCTAGTTCAAATAAACAAGAAATATTAAAACATGACCATGTTATACCATAGAAACAAACTAAATCATAAAAAACACTTACATTTCCACATTATGTAAATTACAAAAAACTCTTTTTTGTTTTCAAAATAGGGATTGGGAGGGCAAACCTTCCTCATCCTNATGCTAAATATATATATATATATATTAAATTATTTCGTGTTGTACAGTACATATATATATATTTATAAATTAATTTCAATACATAAAATTTATTTTTAAAAATCTAATTTAAAAATTGAAAAATTATTACGGGAGATATTTATTTAAGAAACTTTAATACTGCTATATAAATGTTTTTACTATCCATTTGTGCTCTACCAATATTACATTAACGATCCGTTGTTTCCATATTATGTAATGTTCTTATGATATTTTACTTTTTTTTAGTTTAAATTTTATATTTTCAACCATAAGTTGAAGGGAAGTAAAATGTCGAATGTCAGTGTATGCAAGACATGTTGCGATGACAGAATATTGAACAGGTTATATAATAGAGAGAGAAGAAATTTCATCGGTGCTTTGAACACACTCTTTTTATATGAAAAGTTCTTTTATAAAATGAGTTTTTAAAAGAACAATAACTACTGGAAAATAAATGTTTTCAAAAAGAAAATAAATTCTATTTGCATATTTACTAAAAACTATAAACAATTTTTTTGATTAAATAATTTTTTTATGAAACTTCTCTTATGAGTCAACTATATATTAATGTGCATTGTATTTTTAAGGTACACACACGTACTGTACACAACGTGTGTTTTTGTATGCGTTTTTATGTATTTTATGTATATNATATTTGAAAATCATCACGTAATGCGTAATTCGAAAGAAATTACGATGATAGAGTGGCCATAATTTTACAGAATTAGTTATATTTCGTATAATGTGGTAATTCAAGTAAATTAATTATGATTACGTATCTGGAAAATGTCACATGTAAGATTGTTATCGCGTTTTGGTGGAAGATTCGCAAGTAAAGTATCGGGTGATCTCTTGTGAACCTTAGTAATGGTTCAAGGTGTGCTTTCTACTATTGAGAAGTACCACAAAATGCAATAAAGTCTGCTAGAAAAGTTGCCGAACTCAGAGCACGTTGCAATTCACTCTCTTTTGATAGTTGTCTTAAATTTATCGATGGAATGGTCCAGAATGCATCGTATCTGTCTCCAACTGTCAGTAAGAATATTGCAATCATAAAGTTTATGTTCAGCAGGCTGTCTGCTTTGCTGAAGGATATATTTTTCTTCATGAAATCTTGATATTATTCTACAAAGGAAACTAGCAAACATCTTTTTAATTTTCGCAAAAAACCGAATTTAAATAAAATAAAAATAAATTAAAATATTTAAAGCTTAAATACAAGGAAAAACTACACAGATACACGCTTAGAATTAAAGAAATTTTTACGTGTTTAATGGTTTGAAACGTTGCTAATTTACATACGTAAATATGTATTTTTATATATTTTTGTACTGTACAACACGAAATTTAAATATATATATATATATATATTAAATTATTTCGTGTTGTACAGTACATATATATATATTTATAAATTAATTTCAATACATAAAATTTATTTTTAAAAATCTAATTTAAAAATTGAAAAATTATTACGGGAGATATTTATTTAAGAAACTTTAATACTGCTATATAAATGTTTTTACTATCCATTTGTGCTCTACCAATATTACATTAACGATCCGTTGTTTCCATATTATGTAATGTTCTTATGATATTTTACTTTTTTTTAGTTTAAATTTTATATTTTCAACCATAAGTTGAAGGGAAGTAAAATGTCGAATGTCAGTGTATGCAAGACATGTTGCGATGACAGAATATTGAACAGGTTATATAATAGAGAGAGAAGAAATTTCATCGGTGCTTTGAACACACTCTTTTTATATGAAAAGTTCTTTTATAAAATGAGTTTTTAAAAGAACAATAACTACTGGAAAATAAATGTTTTCAAAAAGAAAATAAATTCTATTTGCATATTTACTAAAAACTATAAACAATTTTTTTGATTAAATAATTTTTTTATGAAACTTCTCTTATGAGTCAACTATATATTAATGTGCATTGTATTTTTAAGGTACACACACGTACTGTACACAACGTGTGTTTTTGTATGCGTTTTTATGTATTTTATGTATATATACTTACTATATACATTTGTATTTTGTGTGTGTATATGTGTATTTTTCTTTAAAATATTTTTTAAAAATTTTTAAGAATTCTTTTTAAAATTATTTTCTATATAAACTAATTGAAATTTCTTTAAAATATTTTTAATGTGAAAATTTTAATTTGGTGTCGATAGCAAATTTTATAATAAATAATTAATGTTATCATTAATTATAAATTTGACGTTAATTAGCTAGTTACAGTATTGACTTCAAACTTTAAGAAATTAAGTAAACTTACTTTTAATCGTAACATTTAAATAATTTGCTTTAAAACTTTATACATATAAAATTTTCAATGATCTTACGTGATAAGTGGTACGAAATTATTTATTATTTTTTAATTTTTTTTTTATGGTGTAGCTTCGATCCTTTACACAGCAGTAGTTCGGGGAAAAGTAGCCCTGCCTTGTGACATATCGCCTCCCTCTGCTGATGACAGCGTGGCCTTAATTCTGTGGTACAAAGACGAAGCTCCAACACCAATATACACATTAGATGCTCGTTATGGTAAAATAGAACAAGCAAGACAATCATCAAGCAGTGAACTGGAAAATCGAGCTTATTTCAATATGATTAATCGACCAGCCTTTTTGCAATTGGATCCAGTTGAAGAGGATGATAGTGGTGAATACAGATGTCGAGTGGATTTTCATACAGCTCGAACTGTGAATACAGTCATTTCACTGAAAGTCATTGGTAAGTAAGTGCTCCCTTGGTGTTTAATATAAATATAATCGCTATAAAATCGTAGGAAATGTAAAATATTCTGTAGAACTTACCTTAAATTTTTTTATTTTTATGAACTTTTTTATTATTTTTCTCTTAAAAGTTAGATTTATATATATATATTTTTAAACCAATGGTGTTACCTTAAAAAAGTATATATATATAAAACGTTTACGCTTTAAACTTAATGCAACGATATTACGTAAATTGACGAGATGGAAACAGCAGTATTGAATTCCAATGAACAAAGCATGGAGTAACAAGCACGAACAAAATATTAGAAAAGTATTGTAAATGTCGAGAAATATGTGACGAGAAAATTTGTAAAAATAAAAAACAAAATAAAATTCACAAATGTTAAATCTAAAGAAACAAGAAAAAATAATATAAAAAAATAATAATAAACTCGAATTTTTTACAATGTTTATTTAAAAATAAGCTTGAAATTTGATAAGTTATTAGCACTTTAAGTACTGTTTAAAATGTATAGAATTAAATTAATTCCACTTTATTTTTGCTCAAATTATTTATTGAATGTGTAAATAATATTTNTCAGATGTTAATTTAGTATCAAAAACGTAAAATATTTGAGTAACCCAAGAAATAGCCGAAGATTGCAGCGCCATAGCACTAGCGAAAATTTAAATTTGCCGACTGGAATGCTTTCGGATAACAGACGTTTCGGATAACCAGCTTTCGGATAAACGACGCTCTACTGTAATCAACTGATGCGTAAATGTCGCTACTGTATAATTATCTCGGCTCGAGCGAATCGGAATGCGATCCTTATCTGGCTACAATTCAAACAAATTACACACCTATAAATTTCCACTGTCGTCCGTCTTCGTTTGCCCGTTCCGTCCTTCCTTAATCCCGAGAAAGGAGTCGGATACACGAAAACCGAGACCAGATATGCAAAGATTAGGGGCAGCAGGCCTCGATTAACTATATACGCCTTTCCGGTTTACTCCGGAAGTCACGTTATTTCAATTTAAAAGTTTTTCTCCAAAAAGAGTGAGATAGATGGCCGACACGAATCGACTGCTAAAGAAAAAGTATGACGTACGGGGACGAGCCACTTGTAATTTGAGGTGGCGAACACGTATCTTAAGTTAAATAAATTAAAAATATGATTAAAAAATTGCAATCCATTGCGACCGCGTGACAATAAAATAATTGCTCGTTGTCTGTTTCACTCGGTGAGAACACTAAAATTCCAATTCGTAGTGTTCGGATTCACTCCCCTTTATTCGACTCGTTGTTATAATTATAAATGTCGCATACAATAATAGAAAAGTTTTTATTTGTTTTTAAAATAACTACTAATAAGAAAACTCAACGATTACACTATACACGCGTATTAAACAATGTTTATTGTATCAATATCGATAACGAAAAGTAATTTGTGTAAACGTTGGAATAAGATTTTAAAGAAAGAATTAAAATATTATTTTTTAAATAATTTAATTTAGTTTACTTTTTAAAATAGTTTAAACTCATATCATTTATAAAATTATTAAAAAAATCAATGTTTTACTACACTAAAATTATTAATTACAGTATACGCTAAATTTTTACTGTATATTTTATTTTTAAAAAATATATATATTATTAGCGACATTCTTTATGTATAAATAAAAAAATTAATGCAGTTTTATTTAAATATTTAAAAGGAAAAAAAGTAATATAGATAAAAATGTATAGACTACGTATAAACGTGTTATAAAAAACGAGCTTAATAATATATTTATAAATAAATTAAATTAAAATATAAACATTTTTATGGGTAATTTTATAACGTAAGTTGTAGTTCTTTTATTAACAACAACTTTCATACAAAATTTCGATTTATTCTTACCTTTTTTTACGATTTACTTCCAACTTACCAACATGTTTGTTAACTGGATTGCACAAATAGCTTATAAAATGCTTCATATAATTCTGTAGATGTCAAGTTTAGTCACCGTTTTTTGAGTTTTACTGCTACTATAAATCTATACGTAGGGATACATATGGTATATACATTACCATTTCTCTCCTGTCCTTTCGGATTTGTATCAACCATAGAACATCTCCTAAACGTATGTTTAATCTATGACATTTTTTAAACCTGAGCTATATCCATCTCCTCTCTTATAACCCAACATATTTCATATTTACATGGTAAAAATCGTGTTTACGTTGTTGATTTTAGCCAAAAATTTAAATTTTGAATTCATTCAAAACAGGAAAAAAATATATAATATAGTTTATAAATTCTAGAGTAATTTTCTAAATAAATTAAAATTCTACCTTCTCATCAAATTTTTAATACTGTTTATAAGAATAAAGAGTATTTAAAAACTGAAAATTATTACTTTAAATTCTGTGAAGAAATTACATTTTTTAAGCTTTAATTTTTAGTTGTTAAGTTGATTCTTTGCCAATTTTAAATGAAATATTAAGTACACAACGACCATGATTGTTTGTTTAACTTACCATCTTAATACTATTGTTAAAATTTAAGTAAATAAATAAATATATATATATAAAAGAATTGAGTACGAATCAATAATTTATCAGTAACAAATAATCTCATTTATCACAAAATACAATAAATCCATCACCAATATCATCTTCTACATCCAACTACATCATAGTCTCTTGTAGCATCAACGGTTATATATTTTATTTTCTTATATTTATTTTTTATTATTATATTTTTTCCAATTTCAAAAATGATTTATTAGAATGTATTTTTTTTTCTTTTATTGTAAATGTATCATGTTTACTTTCAACTTAAATAGCTTGTAATCTTTATGAAATCGTAATCAATAATAATTTGTTGATGGGATTGAAAGATACATTTCTCCATTTTTTCTCTCTCTCTCTCTCTTTCTCCGTTTCTCTCCTATATTTTATTAAAGTAAAAAAGTTAATTAAAATATATAAGATTTCTTATTTTAGAAAATTAGCTTCCTTCTTCTTCTTCTTTCTAATCACAAAGCTTGAAGAACAGGAAATTGTGTATATAGCTTTTTAAAACAGGAAAAAATACAGTGTTTCTTTCACCAGTTTTAGTTTAGTGCTTGATATGTGAGGCATTCTTCTTCCACATGGAAAGATGCTGACATGTAATAAATTTGTTCTGACGACTTTACAGATTGTCTTCATAAATCATATTTTGTTCCAAAAGTTAATCGTTCATCAAATGAATGAATAGCCTGGTGTTTAAAGGAAAATAACCCTTTACAAAAGGGAAGGGGGGCATCTTTTGATGCTAATTGAACATAACTTATTATTCTTGTGTATCAAAATACTAATCTATGGATAATTAGGGGAAACCACTCGTAAAAATAATCTTATTGATATAAATAAAGTTAAGTTTACTCAAATGTAAAATGGGATCGGTCCAGTTATATATTAAATTAAATTGATAACAAAATAATACCACTTTACAGATAATACTTACGTGTCTAAATGTGCTATTTAAATAATTTAATATAATATAAAATTGTTGTTGCTGTACTAAATATTTTATTATTTTAATTATAAAAGTAAATTTTATATTAATTTTTTTAAAATACATTTTTGAGGTACTGAGGTATATTTTTCTACACGATTTAGTGTACTAGAATTCTTGTAAATAAATTAATTGTAAAGTTTTTATGTAAATTTAATCGACTAACTTTAATAAAATTGATGAAACTTAGATAAAAATTTACAAAAAAAATCCTCATTAAAACTTCGAAACTAAGTTTTGAATTTAATAACTAGTAAAAAAATTTTTATAACTTAATTTATATACTGTTTACTTGTAGTTCTTTATATAACCTTCATTATTTACATAACCTTAATATATTTTAAAATATATATAATNTTCTACCTTCTCATCAAATTTTTAATACTGTTTATAAGAATAAAGAGTATTTAAAAACTGAAAATTATTACTTTAAATTCTGTGAAGAAATTACATTTTTTAAGCTTTAATTTTTAGTTGTTAAGTTGATTCTTTGCCAATTTTAAATGAAATATTAAGTACACAACGACCATGATTGTTTGTTTAACTTACCATCTTAATACTATTGTTAAAATTTAAGTAAATAAATAAATATATATATATAAAAGAATTGAGTACGAATCAATAATTTATCAGTAACAAATAATCTCATTTATCACAAAATACAATAAATCCATCACCAATATCATCTTCTACATCCAACTACATCATAGTCTCTTGTAGCATCAACGGTTATATATTTTATTTTCTTATATTTATTTATTATTATTATATTTTTTCCAATTTCAAAAATGATTTATTAGAATGTATTTTTTTTTCTTTTATTGTAAATGTATCATGTTTACTTTCAACTTAAATAGCTTGTAATCTTTATGAAATCGTAATCAATAATAATTTGTTGATGGGATTGAAAGATACATTTCTCCATTTTTTCTCTCTCTCTCTCTCTTTCTCCGTTTCTCTCCTATATTTTATTAAAGTAAAAAAGTTAATTAAAATATATAAGATTTCTTATTTTAGAAAATTAGCTTCCTTCTTCTTCTTCTTTCTAATCACAAAGCTTGAAGAACAGGAAATTGTGTATATAGCTTTTTAAAACAGGAAAAAATACAGTGTTTCTTTCACCAGTTTTAGTTTAGTGCTTGATATGTGAGGCATTCTTCTTCCACATGGAAAGATGCTGACATGTAATAAATTTGTTCTGACGACTTTACAGATTGTCTTCATAAATCATATTTTGTTCCAAAAGTTAATCGTTCATCAAATGAATGAATAGCCTGGTGTTTAAAGGAAAATAACCCTTTACAAAAGGGAAGGGGGGCATCTTTTGATGCTAATTGAACATAACTTATTATTCTTGTGTATCAAAATACTAATCTATGGATAATTAGGGGAAACCACTCGTAAAAATAATCTTATTGATATAAATAAAGTTAAGTTTACTCAAATGTAAAATGGGATCGGTCCAGTT